TTAACTAATTTCTGAAACTTAAATTTCCGATCTAAATAACATATATTAATTCCATGTAGAAAAATACTAACTCCGCCTGTAGCTCTTCTGGGGTTATTGCCAGTAACAAGCTTGGATAAAGGAAAACCAACAAGCCAAAACAATTCTAACCGGAAAAAACAATTCGAACAATTTAAACTCTGCTCTGGAACTTGAAAGGTCTTCGTTTAGAGGAGTTATGACATCTCATGATGAAATCCGAGTTACTTCGGAAGTCACAAGGCCGATGCCCCTTCTCAAAATCAGAGCAACCACTATTGTAGGTACGTGGAATGTTCGCACATTGTTGGAGACTGGAAGAAGCATTCAAGTCGTTGTGGGGATTACAATGAACGTCATCCAATGATACGCGCCTACCAGCGATAAAAACAAAGACGATTAAGATCAGTTGTATGAGAGGCTACAGTCAATCCCAGAGAAATTATCAGGAGGACCTGAAAGTCTTGGAGAGACCTAAACGCCAAGGTTGGAATGGACAATGGTGGACATGGCAACATCTTAAAACGACATGGACTGAGAGAGATGAGAGATTCGCAAACTATGTGCCTTCAACAAACTGGTTATGGGTGGCACCATATTCCCACACAAACGCATACACAAAGCGACATAGGTTTCACTGAGTCACACTACTCAGAACCGAACCGACCATATATGTATCAATAACAAATTCAGAAGGACCATAGAGGATGTAAGAACCAAGCGAGGAGCTGACATAGCTTCAGATCATCACTTGGTGGTAGCCGAAGCAGAGCTGGAATTCAAGAAGCGCTATACAACGGAGCGGACAACATCAAAAAAGTTAAATACGACCTTTTTCCAGTATACTGGCAAACACAATGAATTTAAGATAGCCTTCAGCAATAGGTTCCAGGCTTTTCACAATCTGCTCAATGGAAGGGAAACTACCATGGAGAACACCTGGAAAAGGATCAAGGAGGCAATCACTACTACATGTCATGAGGTCCTGAGCCACAAAAAAACACCACCACAACGAATGGACCTCTCGTCACATTCAGTAAAACATATATGAAAGGAAGAACCGAAAGGCAGCAATCGATTTCAGCCGAATAAGAGCAGAGAAAGCCAAGACACGTGCTGAATACACCGAAGCAAACAAGCAAGCGAAAAGGAGCACCGGGGTTGAAGAACGTAAATCTAGAAATGACGGCGTAAAAGGCTATAAGAGAAGGGAACATGGGACAATCGTATTCAGTAAATGAAAAATAGACAAAATAACTGTTTATGATCACATTTTTCTAATTACGTTAAATGAGTTGATGAAATTGAATCCCGATTATTTCATATTCCCTCTATCTCATGGTTTCTTTTCTTAGTAAAGATATCATATATAAGCTGGTTAGTTACTGAATAAAAACTCAAGAAATTAGATATTTACTTCAAAGCTAAAAACAGAGAATTCGTAGTGAGGAATGGCATTAATTATCCTAAATAACTGCTCTGTTACTTCGCTGAATTTCGTTCAAATTATTAGGTGAACAGTAAACCGACCGTAGCTGCTACCTTGACGTGGTGGTCGGGTTTGCCTAACGTCATGACCCAACCGAGCTATATTGGCTGAAACATATGTTCCTGAAGGTTCTACCATGCCAGACAGGTCGATTGGAGAACGATCAGACTAAAAGCAGCTACTCAAGGTTTGAGGGCGAAGTCGTACTGCTGACTGCAGAGAGGTGTGACAGCAGTAAGGTGTTTTCCTCGGACAACCAGCATCTGCAGCGATGCTGCCTTCTCACAAGGGAGGAAGGGGTTAGAAAAGGTCGACCCTAAAAATGTCACACCTTACCCTTTTCACGGATTTCCGTCTCCTTGGGTAAGGGTGGCCACTAAGGGCCTTTAAAAGCGGAACTAATCCTCAAAAAACCTTTAACAAAAAGGCCGTGCGTGACCGGCCTCAAGCAGTTATCCCTTGGACTCTGCGGTTACGCACCCAGGTCTCTAAGGCCAACGCTAATATACCTTCCTTTTCAGGTTCCTCTAGAAACAACCTTCCACGGTGTGGGCAGCCGGGAAGTGACAACCGCCCTCATACCCGTAATAGCACACGAGAGCAAATTGGTCGAAATCAAATCTTTCCTACACCAACACACATCTCTCTTATCTCCACGACTAACTCTTCTCACATTCCTTTATCACACTGCACAGCTAATGCAAACGATGCTAGCCCACGAAACGTTATTTCTGGTCTCCTGAAACCCCGTTCTATACTACATGTTGGAGCTTTTAATGTACGGACATTGTGTCAAATAGGGCAACAGGCATCATTAGCTAGCACTTTAGAATCTCGTGCCATCGATGTGTGCTGCGTCTCGGAAACGCGCATACAGGACCCTAGTAAAATTATTAATCTGATTTCACCTTGTCAAAATAAAGAAGCAGCTCGATTTACTCTTCGTGTATCTGGAAGTCCTGATGCTGCTTCCAGGGGTCTTGCTGGCGTAGGCATAGCACTGAATCGTAAGGCTGAACAATCTCAACTTGACTGGTGAACAGTAAAATAAAAACATGAAAAATAATCCAGTTATCTAAGCCTTATGTTAAGACGTTGCCTACGCTTACAATAAAGGCTGTCTAGATGAGTTTTACAGAAAGCTCTCCTACCTCCTTTGAAAAGTTAAACGCTCTGATGTAGTAATAGTGGCTGGTGACTTTAGTGCTCAAGTAGGTAGACTAAGCGTAACGGAAAGATACATGGGTGTATTTATGTCGTCGCGACCCAAAGAACAGATAATGGCAGTTAGGATCAGAAAACTGCCTATTTCTAGAAAGTACTAACCTATAGAATAAGGAATAGCATCCTTTGACATGGCAATTCTCAAAGTCAGATTAAAGCTGGACTCAACTGGACCACATTGCTATCAACCACCCATATAGATGTTCAACAGACACAAGCATAACTGCGTTGCGGTCCTCACCCTCGAAATAAAAAACCGTACTTCAGGATTAGTTTGCATCGGCACCTGATCTAGTGATAAGCAGTGAAATAATTGAGCGTGTTGACCGTTTCACTTATCTTGAGAGTCGCATCAGTGCTGATGACCTGGTATCCGACGAAATCCCGGCACAGTTACAGAAGGCTCGACTGGCTTTTTCTAATTGGTGTCACTTATGGTGTAGGCGATATATCCGTCTACCAACCAAAGGACAAGTTTAATGTGCATCAGTTCGCTCCATCCTACTCGATAGGTGTGAAACGTGGCCGTTAAGAGTAGAGGATATCCTTAGGTTACGGGTACTCGATCACCTGTCTTCGAAGCATTGCTCGTGTATCCTGGGACAACCGAGTAAGCATTGCTGTCATTAGGAAACGAGTACTAGGTAGGGATAGCAAATCAATAGATGAAGTAGTGAACCTTCACCAGTTGAGGTGGCTAACCACCGACTAACTTGACGAGCTAAGTTTTGTGATGGAGAGGTAGGCTAGAAGAAAGTTAGGGGTGGCTAAACGAAAACACGACACAATTCCACGAAGTCATTGATAAATGGACTGAGTCATGTTAGTAAGTGTAGACTACGTAGTTGGGGTCCGCGAGGTAATAGTAAACGATAGTTAGAGACTTTGAATGACATGGCTCAAAACCATTTACAGTGGCACAGATGCATCCATTACTTACCTTCTCTCAGATTCTAATCTTCTGAACACCTTATCACATTTATCTTGCTTTTGAATAATATCCTTGGACCCTAATCTTCTCCATTATCGCTAAAACTTCTACTATAGCTACCACTATGTGATTTAAATTGCGTCTCTGTGCTGATGTGGTATGGCAACTGGAATTAATGTACGTAAGTATGAAGTTCCATGTCGTAGGTGAATGAACGAACTCTGAGCTCGTTCATTCATGAGTACTATAGTACGTATTGCACAGTCATGGTATTTACTAGTTAGTAGACGAGATTCAGTTACACAACTTTCACTTGTCAAAACAACTCAACATACGTGATCACACGGCTAATTTTATTTGACTGTCAAGGACTTATATACACTACAAACTAGAATCTGATTTTGGGATTCATACTGAATATCTAATAAAACGTGATTAGGTGGGCTATAAGGAAAGGAAATACCTGTAAATTACACAGGTTTACGCAGACTATAGCTCTTAAGAGGTTTTAGGAAAATTCTTGAACAAACATACTCGCAAGATGACTAGATAACACATAACTTTTGATAAAAAGCACAACTAACTAAGCGTCACGATACTTATTACAAGTTATTAAACATACATATACTTTACTGATACTTGTAAGATTCCTAATGAAAGAGGTTAACTTAAGGTGGTCGTCTTTTAACATTACTTGTCAGTATCTCATGAAATGGACGCCATACTGATGCTACCTCAGTCCTATTACTAAACAGATTTAAGGGAATTCTGGATTATTACTCATGAGTTTACAAAATTTTTCCAGCTGGAACATGGAACAAATGGATGAAACAGGTTGTTATCGCTTGTTTCATATTCCCAATTTTATATATTCCAAACTGCCTTATATCCGCATCCTCTCCTTTTAATTTACTCACTGACATTCCACTCCTACAACTACCCGATCTCTTGGTAATACAATAGGCTTCCGTGATATTTTACATCAAGGCACCAGAAAGTGTAACTATCCTCTTCAATGTCTTTTAATACCTGTCTGATGCATTTAAAGGATGGTTGGATCACCTTTCTGACCAACTTTTTATTCTCTAGTCAAGAAACAAACCCAATTTTTCTCACATGTCAACCACCCAACGGCAGGACCTAACAGCCACAAATTAAACCATATATTTGACAAGGTGATCGGGAAGTTAGAGTCATAGCGATAAACATTATCGCCCAACTGAAGCCGCAGGCTCAAAATTATGACAGGATATGCATCTGAACAAATGAGTCGTCTTAATCACGAGGCCTGATCATGAACGAATAGTATCACTTTATTTTCCTAACCTTGTCCTAGGAGCAATTAGCCAATAAGAAAAGAGTGAGATAGACATGCATGCGGTCAACCAATCGCTTTATTCATTATTGTCTGGTTAAAATAAAATCGGTGTCTAAAGCATATTATCACACAGCCAAAATACCGTAAGTGATGTATGTTTCAGAGCCTTGTGCTTCCGATTTTACGGTTGAGCGGTTTATTGGTCGTGGATGCTACTCTTTTGTTTATGAAGTACGGAAAACAACTGGCCCTGATACAGGTTCAAAATACGCCTTAAAACGTTTTGTTTTGGAGAATGACTCGGCAATTAAATGTGTTTTGAGAGAAAGACGGATTTTAGAACGTCTTGCTTTGTGTGATTTTCAAAGCCCATTTCTACCAATGCTTTGTTACAGTATGTGGAAAAACTATTCATCTACATTTTGTCTTCGGGAAGGTTCAGGCTGTGACCTTTACGACCTCCTATGTCATGTTGGTTGTCTGTCAGAGAACAATACACGTTTCTATATCGCAGAAATCATATGCGGCCTGGAACATTTGCATTCACTGAGTATTGTACATTTGGATGTAAAACCTGAAAATATCCTCTTTTATCCGGATGGCCATGTTTTCGTTTCAGATTTAGATCGTTCTTATGATATTTCTCAAAATACCAAGCCTACACTAGATGACTTTACCGGGACTCCTTTATTCATGGCTCCGGAAGTTGCTCGAGGTGAAGCCATCGACACGAGATCTGACATATGGAGTTTGGGTGTTCTTGTGGCAGAAATGGTTACAGGTCCTATCCGTCGAGAAGCCCAAAATACCGCTGAAGAATTTAAACGAGCTCGTATGGGTACATATTCCATACGAGGTTTGAAGCGCCTATCAAAACCTCTTCAGTCGTTTTTCAGTGCTTGTTTGCAACGTCAGCATACACAACGTCCTTACTTAAAAGGCGTAAAAGAACTTCGGTTCCTAAAATATGTTGACTGGTGTAAGGCTGGATCCAGACTTCTTCGTCCTCCATATTCGACTTCAGATCTTCGTCATCGATTGACCAAAGAAAATAGGATACCAGTATCTCCCACTGATGCGAATCTACTTTCTGGTGCATTTAGACCTTGGAAACCAGCCAGTGTCTTTCCTTCTGAAACTTCACAGAGTGCGAACACCGGTGATTCGGAATCCGAACATATTCCGTCCTCCTTAATAAAAGCAGGATATACTAAAGAAAAATTGGATTCGCTATTTAAGTCGTTCAGCTTCATACATCCAAGTTTACGGACATTTACTAGCGACGCTGGCGTTTCAGAGTCATTATCGCAACTAACGATGAGATTAGATACAGCAAAAGAATGTCCAGTTGACAGCATTCCAGATACTAAAAATGCTAAAGGTATTACTAATAGTGATTCTGCGACAGCTGTACCGTTCCGAAGATCTAGATCTAGATGTACGTCTATTGGGGACTGACTATTATACTACTTGAGACCATACCCAATACATATGCTCGTACACTTAATCATATTAGATCGCAACCATACAACTGGATTTCCAAGCAAAAGACATGTAACAATTCTAAGTAGTTTTAAATGTATTTTTTACTCTCGAAGTATGTATTTGTTATGCAATGTTCTTTGGATCACAATGTCTTTTCATTCTTGTCGTAGGTTATTTGGGTTTGAAATAGTGCTATACTTAAATCCCATTTCGATTGATAACCTGACTTGCTATGAAAGTATGCAGTGTCATATCTAATTAGTGAGTGTAAAAGATTAGCAGTTATAGATTCGAAATAAGTGATATGGTCATCAGTTTAAGGATAAAATTATCAAACAACAAAGTGCCTGAGATCCTTGGAGTTCGCCGTAAAAGTGCATGTATTCGATTTCTCAGTAACAGCACACCTGTACATTTAGATTTTGTGAATTGTATCGTTATACTAAGTTGTTTTAAATTAGGTTAGTGGGGTGAGGTAAGAAATCAAACACTAAACCTAACTAGGCTATTAGCCTGGCAAACAAGAAACGGTTCTATTGGGAGGGCCGTGCTCGAAACCCGAAAACAGGTATGCAGCTTCACTTACGGTATTTTTAGCTATTGAGTAAGAGTATTTCAGGTCATTTGAGGGTACTAGTGGCAAACAAAGACAATCGCGTCACAGATGACGACCTGAATGGAAATATTCAAACCCCCAGAATACTTTGGTGGGTAATTTTACAAACACATGCACCAAACTGTCTTTTATATTTTGTCCTGCATGTAACTATCCACCTATTTCAGAATCGCTACTATTTCATGGCATTCAGTACTCTTCAGAGACAGCTATGCAACAGTGTTATTGACCCGTCACTGAGTTACAACGTGGAACCTCGTACGTACGTACATCAGTTCAATTTACCATACCACATTAGCACACAAATGCAACTTTCAATTCAAATCCCATAGTAGCAGAGGTAGAAGAATCATTAGCAGTAATCGGAGAGATTTGGGTTCGAAGATACTATTCAAGAAGCATGACTTAGTGAAATCAACTTAAAGGTGATGTAGGATCCAGAGGATTAAGATTTTAGAGTTATGGACCCTTACCACTGGGCGTCATGTGTATGCTGAGCTACGACGGACTCAACATTGTCTGTAACGAACTGAGTGCCGTTTATTAAGATGTGTTACTGACTAGTACTGCATATATTCATACATCTCGAAGTTATTAATCTGCTTTGCGGCTAAGAATACTATGTTGTACGGCTTGAGACTGATCGCTATTTTGCTAGTGCACTCATATCTTATTTAAAATCTTGGATGTCTTACTGTATGTTTGTTCAATACCTAATAGCCTGACTTGTTTGTGCTCATTAATTTTTGTATAAATCTTTTGGTCAGTGTTATCTCATGGTTTAGAATCGGTCATTATAGACACGCGCATTAACTCAATGTCTTCTCTGATATCATGAGTTGCATGGCCTTTCATATGTCTAAATTCACAGATTCTTGGTCCTATTTTTTATCCGTGTTATCTCTTTCAATACTTAAGTTTCCTTCAAGAATGTAAATCGTTAACCATCAGCTTCTTACCTTGGCTACAGAAAGAAATTGAACTTTTTGATTTCCTTCCTTTAAATAATTGTAGCTGTAGAAAGTGGTTACCTACTGATAACTCCTATACTGTCGAACAGAGTCTTAGCTCGGCCAAAGTCAGAACAAGCTAGATATTTGGCTTGATCAACTTTATCTGTAAATTGACTCCGTTAGTGTACAATAAACGGGAACCAATACAGTCTGATAAAGAGACACAAAAACGTACCGAACAATGACTAGGGTACAAGTAAAATGAGTCAACAGATTCGATATTCTTTATGAAAAACATGAAAGATGATCAGTGATTAGGCAGAGCATAGTTATCCAAGGTCATAGAGAGGCATGTGGTAGTAGGCGTTTAGTACTATCATCGGTTGGTTAGTTTGTCGATCAAACCTTACAGTAGCTACTATGCTTTTATGTGAACCTACTAAAGTTTTTGTCATATCGCATTGTAACTCCGTCTTGAGCTTCCTAGATCTGTCACCACCAATAATTGGAATCCTGTCAGAACTTAATTTCTTTTACATCTTAAACGAGTCGTTCGTTTCTGATTCGCGATTCGTTCCATTAAATCCGCTGTCTTGTCAGTAATTAAAAATAACGAAACTTCTTAACTTGTATGTAGGCGAAAAAATGCAGTGGATTAACGGTATTCCGCATGGCTTTCTTAAAATGCCTGTAGATTGTTTACGAAATGTATTTATCTCTAAAGTTGAGTTCATCAAGTAAATGCTTTTAGAAGCACCACCCACCTACCTACAAACAGTTAAACAATTAATAGACCATGAAATACCACCGATGTAAAATACTTGGTTATTAGTTTGACAGGAAGAGTGTATAAGTCTCTTTGCTAGGTTTGGTTAGGCTACCATGTTGGTCGGACTAGTCTATATGTACTCACTTTGCATTTAATTTTACTCCATGCACACATTCATTAACTTGAGCCCCTGTTAGTTTGTCCTTGCTGTTGATGCCACTATTTTTACTTCGCTCACTCTCAGATACAAAATGTGACAAATCGAGCAAACATATTTGTTTGTTTTTACGTTAAATATATATGCTCGATATGAGAATGGTAGGTTTATTCCATTTACTTATGCCCTACATATGCTAACTTCCGACTATTAACCTACAAATAAGAAGGGAAGAGCAATCGGGGAGCTCAAAGTCTAAATAAATGAGTTAAATCTGGTACCTATGAAAGAAGGAAAATGAATGTTTCTAAGCCACACGTAAAAAAGTTGCTCGAAACCCCAAACACTAAATTATCAGTATTCTCGCTAGTGCGATTCCTAAACAAATATCAAAAAGTCGCTCATATATTTGATACAGATCGTACGTGTTTGCAACACCGCTTTACATCATGGCTGGTGGGTTAATGAGGAAAATACTGTTAACTCTGTTATTGTTCTTGTGGTAGAAATTGGGTGGAAAGTCAGTTTTAAAGGGAGAGTTATAGATATGAACTAATCGGATGCTTTGAACAAGGATGGTGATCCACTCTCGATCCAGGAAACTAGATTGAGGGGCCGAAAATTTCAAGTGATCTCCTGCTGCTCTTCAATTATTTTCCATTTATTAGTGGGCTTATAAATGTCAGATTTTTATGAATTACATTACAGAAAGATATTAGTTGAAAATTCATTGAAAACTGGGGGGGGGCACTAAAAGCTGGTTCTAACTGGTATGAAACTGCTCGACAATGCACGACCTCCCTGATGATCGAAAACTCGACAATTTTCAAAGACCAACTACACTGATAATAATTTCGTGTTCGCTAGTGACTAGTTTTAGTTTCAGGAGAGCTATTGAGAAGTCGTGACCAGTTGAGTTCGACCATGTCAGGTGCAAGACAGTCACCCGCCAGTGAAACTAAGATTACGCTATATCGTTAAACTATTAAATCCTGGTTATAACCTAGTTTAAGCAATAGCTGTGATGCCCAAAGGTCCTGGGTTCGATTCTCGACACTGCTGAGAAGTCTTATACTAAGAGTATAGTTTCCTGGTTTCGGATGATTGTTGAATTAAGATCGATTCTAGGATATTTCCCATACCTTGGCAACATGAGTGAGATATCGGCACAAGTTTACCAACCCTTAGCAAGGCTAGAGTAGCTACAACTAATTTGAAACGATGGAATTCGGACGGACCTAATAAGTTAACTTCGATGGTCTTGCGTCACTCAGATTTACTAAGATCACTAGCTAGGGTTTCAGGATTAAGCGTACGTCTACTCGACACACTGCGGTCGATGGTCGCCGCGGTTGATAAGAGCTGTTCTTCTTGCTTGAAAAGTATTTTAACCTTGACAATCATTTGACGCCTAGATGGTACGAGGGAGCAGCAAACTGTGTAAGAGAGCTGGTTTAAGTCATGGCGGTAGATTTACCGTTCAAATGTTTTTGAATGTAAACGTCTGCTTACTTCCTGACCTATGGGCGAGATCAGAATGTTCATCAGGGTGCTATGCAGTAGTGCTTGCCACTAAAACGTTCACAAGTGAAATACACAGACCTTCCAAAAGATCTGTACTCGTGTACTGTTGGTTATGCTAGTTTATCGACAGACAGGTACAACGCAGTACTTCGCACGTAAGTACCTCAGTTCAGGTTGCCATACCACATCAGCACAGAGACACAACTGTCAGTTCAAATCCAAGAGTGATAACGATAGTAGAAGTATAAGCAGTAAGGAGTGAAGATATGATTCGAGAAGTATAATTCAGTGAGATAAATTTAGAAGGAGAAAGGTGGAGATTATGAGGAATTCAGAAGGTTAGAATTAGATGGATGCACCTGAGCCATTGCAAACGATTCTGAGCCATGTTGTTCAAGGTCTCTAACCATCGGTGACTTTCGTCTGGCGGACTCCAACCAGGTAGCCTACATCTACCAACATGACTCAGTCCATTTATCAATGACTTCGTGGAATTGTGTCGTGTTTTCGTTTAGCCACCCCTAACTTTCTTCTAGCCTACCTCTCCATCACAAAACACAGCTCGTCGCGGCAGTCGGTGGTTAGCCATACGTAACATATGTCCCATCCACCTTAACTGATGAATTTTCTCTACTTCATCTATTGACATGCCATCCCTACCTAGAACTCGTTTCCTAACGACAGCATTGCTTATACGGTTGTCCCAGTGTAGTGAACGAGAACACAGGTTGGGAAACCGGATTATATTTCACGAAAATTACAGTTACTCAGTAAAATCGGAAAACCATATCGCAAATCGTTCATTTGCAAAATATCAGTTCATCATATCGAACTGGACTGTTCCTGTTGCAAAACGTCAATCCATGGTCACTATTCATGCGTTTCATACAAATTCCATTGTGTTCTAACTCTTCCTTTCTTGATCTTCCCCCATCTTCTGCTGCCAGACATTACGTTGACACTCACGTCATATACCACTTATAAGTAGCTCACATCACAGTAGTAATAGTTTAATATTAGTATGAGCATTATACGTGTCTTTTTCCTACGAGTTTGATTCGTTTCAAAGCGATTTATTTTGACTTGCTACTTTCAAGACAATATTCAATGTATCTAAGATTTTTC